GTGGGGGGGGGTGGGGGGGGGGGGTTGGGGGTTTGCTTTGAAAGAAGGCATTCACCCCAACAAACTAATGTGATGTGGTATTATTCTGCTGGTGTGCCCTTCTAAGTTTATCTTTGTGTTGTCATTGTCAGGGAAAATCTTGTCATATTTACTTGCATACATCACACCCTCAGCCAAGACATATAACTTGTTTTGGGAAGGTAGAATACAGAGAAAAAGATTTTTTCCAGAATCTTAACGGCCACATCATAGGATGCTGGGCTCACCATTGGCTAGGTAGTAGCTCAGCCAAAAGCTAACACACTTTGGCAGCAGCTAGTAACAGAGTTAAACCTGCTATTATGGAACTGCCAGGAGAGTGTGAGTGATGCTAAAGCAGGAGTAGGCAAAATATGGCCTGGGGCTGGATATGAGACACCAGTTGATCGTATGTGGCCCATAGCTGCCCTCCCAGCTGCCTGGGTACTACTCTGCTCCCACCACCTCCAGGCAGCTCCTCCTCCTGCTCCTGCTGCACTCCTCTGGCCAGCAGGTAGCACTGGAAGCAGTAGCAGTGGCCATGAGGATGTGCACAAGGCAGCACACTCCCAGCCATGTGGAGGGAGGTGGAAGCTGCAGCTGGGCAGCTCCTGCAATACATGGAGCTCCAGCTTCCAAGTGGTTGGAAGGCAACTTGAACCTGGGGCAGGAGCTGCCCGGCTGCACTTTCCTCCCCACTCCCACCTGGCTGGGTGTGTGCTGCCTGGAGCACATCCCCATGGCCACTGCTGCCACTTCCCAGCACTACCTGCTGCCCAATTTTCAAATAAAATTTAAAAAGTAGATATTTGATTTTTTTAATGTAGTATATGCTTTAGTTTTTCTCTATAATTTGTTAAAATGATATCTTCTGAAATATTTTGTGTGTGTGGCCCTTAACAGGTCACCAAAACTCGTTAAGTGGCAGCCGAATCTTAATTGCCCACCCCTGTGCTAAGGAATGGGCTCTGCCCCTTCTATATGTGGCTGGAAACAGAGCGGACCCCCCAACAGCTATTTTAGCAGCTACCCTATGTCTCCATTCTAGCAAGGAAATCAGCTTCCTTGTTTAAAACGCTCACCCAATTTAAAAGGTTATTTTGGGGGGGGACAGATGCATGTGGTATGCAGGTAAATATAGTCTTATTTAATTAGTTTTTCTCATCGTGTCATTAGCCAGGTGTTTTCTACTACATTTTGGTTGTCTACATGCGCATTCAATTTTATTTGTATTAGTTTAATACTTTTTCCTCTCTGAAGAGTATGTCTAGCAATTATGAAAAATCATAAAATTTGAAAAAAAAATCATGAATTTAAAGCATCAAGAAATGCAAAAATAAAGCACTGATTCCAGCACAGGAATGGATTTGAAAGCCTAGTACAGGATCAGTTAAACATTGTAGAGATCATTGTAGCAAACATAAGGTTTTATAAGTGATTTAAGAAATTATATGTTCTAATAAATTGTTTTTATCATTTGCCCTTAATCTTTTTTTCTTTACCTTACTATAATAATCTATGAGATGTATCAGTATATACATCTTTAATTGGACTGAGCTAGCAGAATTAATATTGGAATGTGGAGTCTTTACGTCAAAATAGTATAAATATGATTATGCCTTAAGTATTACAGGCTTACTGGTGCTTGCTATGAAACTTGCAAAGTGTCACTGAGATGTCAGGTTAAAGTTGCTGGGCTGGCAGATTATTATTATTATTATTTGTACACTTAAAATTCTAATTTTGTATGGCATGCCTGGAGTGCTGATCCTGCAAATTTCTTCATATGACTTCATGTCTCTTGAAGTTAATGGAATTATTCTCATGTCAAACATGTACAGGGCTGGGCCAGTGGGATTGTTTGGGGTTTTTCAGGGTAAATTTAAGTACATGCATAAATTCTTATAGGACTGAATTTAAGAGGTTGTTTTAAAAGCTATTTAGAAACAACTCCTAGCAGTGTAGTAGATTAGAGCAGAGACTGAACCCCAAGTCAGATTAGTAACAGACATTGCATTTATTTACAGATAATCTTGCCTTTCTATGTCCTGGAACAAAAATATCCCAGGATAGGCAAGTATACTTGTCAGCCCTTTTAATCAGGGTTTAGTAAGTGGCAGTATTGCCACCTCACAACATTTTTTTTTTTACTGTTTATGTCAAAGTTTTTACTGATGATCTGACTTTTTTACTGACATATTGTGTAAAACATGTCAGTAAACTCATGTAAATGTAACTATTCTGCTGGACCAAGCAAATCATTGTTAAAAACAAGTTTGATTACTGGTAAAAAATGAATAAAAATATTGGGTTGGTAACACTACTTCATGTAACAGTGGTTTGACACCATGCTGCCCCCTACAGGAGTCCCCTACACATCCCCACACCCTGGTACTCCTGACTGAGAGCCGCTCTAATGAAAGCACTGCAGCATCTCGTGTATCAGTGTCCCCATTCAATGAGCTTTAAGTTCAAGCACCCCGACTGCCATTTTTAAGCATGGGGATGCTGATACACAAGATGCAGGAAGCTGCTGGAACACGGTAATTACCATGCTCCAGCAGACTCGATTGAGTCTGCTCCAATGCGCTACAGTTACGTGTTGGAGCAGCCTCCGCACTTGTGTATAGGCACTCATAAAGCCCTGAGAAGACCTACCTTTGGGGTGCCGGACCCCTGCTCAGACACCAGGTGGCACTGCTGTGCTCCATCTGTGCTTTAACAATACAACCAGCTTGTTTTCCGACTATAGACCTTCAGGAACTCAGTGCTTTTGCAGAGCTCTTTTTCCTTCAAATGACATTTTTTTTTTTTTACAGAATTTATTGACAGGCATTTTCAGCCTAGTTATTTATGGAGTGTCCATGAAATTTTTGACAGTTGGCAGCCCTGGTGAGTGGCTGTGCTTCTTTTCTGCCAGTGATGCAATCTTGGGATTATTGTACAGACATACTTTGCAATATCCCAAGGTAAACTTTGGGAATCTTTTTTAGGATTTATCCTGGGACAGCAGACATGGACATCCATATGATTGCACTTTGTTTGGGGATAATATGGTATATCCTGGAATAAATGTGATGTCTGTTTGCAGCCTGTGTCACAACAAATAGGCAAAAGACTATTCTTAACCCTATGGCAGGAGGTTTCAATCTCTGGTGATATGGTGATATTGTTACTGGCAAGCGTATCATGCTCAGCCACTGGGAGGGCCACATACTTTTGCACTTCCACTTTTTTTAGTTTTTAATATTTTTACTATAAAGGTTTAAAATCTCTCTCTCTCTCTGTCAGGACATATATAATTATTCCATGCAATCTCTCCAGCAAGAAAGATAGAAAGACCTATCTGTACATCTGAAAGACTATATTTTATAGATGAGTACTTACAGAATTCTCTTGAGAGGTGGAAGATGCTGGTTTAAATCCCTGAATCAGGAAGAAGCAGATTTGAAGAAGTTTGGAGGACGATCCAAGTCTGGTGGTTAGGATACCTTAGATCTAGTTCCTGCTCCAGTAAATATTTAATTATGTAAAGTAGAGGTTATATTTAGGCTAGAGCAGTGGGGGATATGGAATGAAGTGTTGGGTCTTCCACAGTCCATGTGAATGCCCTAAAGATTGGATTCTCTGGTAGAAGGAGGCCCACCATTCTTGACTGTTTGGTGAGTCTAGTTCTGACAACTTTTTTTCAGCTAAAACTGTTTACAATTAATTCACAACTAAATTTGGGACAACAAAAAACACATTTTCCCAATGATAAGTTCATTCTCTGAAAAAAAACCCAAATGCCCTGTTACCTGTGTATTTAAAGGCGCTTACAGTAGGCAGCCATTGCAGTGAAAAAGGTCCAAAAAGAATCACACAAAACTCTTCATTGTCTGGTTGAAACTTCGGAATTGTGGGCTAACACTGGCTGTCTTTAGGTGTCATGAATTTGGGAGCTGATGTGTTGGACGGAGGCTTGACTCCCAAGGCGTCATTTTAAAAAAACTGGAGGGAGTTGATGCTAATCCAAGGAAATAACATCTTTTATAAACCTATCCAAAAAAAAAGCAGAGAGGGGTAGTTAGCCACATTAGTGTGAAGAGAAAGTCAGCAAATTATTAATAAGAGACAAGGGGATCAAGCCAATGAGGAGTCACATGACTGAGTTACTGAACTTGGTTATAAATCTGTATTCAACTACAGAAATAAATAAGTTCAGACAGCTAAGAAATGAGAAAACCTATAAAAATAGTTCTTCACAAAGAACAGAGCCCACCAGGGAATACTTGGAACATGTGAAGATATGAAAGTCAGTTGGAATACATACAAGTTATATATCACAGGTCAGAGGTTCCTAAGCTGTGGTATGTGGCGTACTTTCTGGTGGCCTGCAGAGAGCTGATTGGTCACATGCTTTTGGATCCCATCCCTCCCCACCTAAATTCTAGCTGAATATGCAAATGATGGATAAAACACAATAAAAGTACCATGGACAATTGATGTAATTGCTTTAGGGATGTTTAAGGATTTTGAATCAGAAGCCAGAATTTATTTTACTGCACAAGAGGACAAAGTCTGTTCTACCTTGATGGTGATGAAAACTTGCCTGTCCAAAAAAAAAATACTCTAGGCAAATGAAAAACATTTTGCAAGGCTGAGCTAATATATCTGGGTAAAGATACTGAAAAAGAAAAATGCATAGGTGACAGCAAAATATGCACGAATTAGTAACATTAACTGAAAGCCAAAAGGGCAAATATAATTTTAAGTTGCACATATAGAGGACAGTGGATCTGGAGAGGGAGGTAAATGCCTGAATGAGTCTGGTACAGTTGTGTCTGGAATGCTGCATTTGGGTCTGAGTATTTTATTTCCTAGAAGGTATAGGCAAGAGGAGAGTGG